TATGAGAGACCCTTTTAATAGCTTTTATACTATTTCTTGGACAGTTTTTCCTAGTCCGATTGCGCATTCTATTGGCTAAAACCCCATATTTTTGACTAAGATATATCGCATAAGATTGGACCTATAGTAGGGCGTCGATCTTATTGAGCTAGCATGGTGTGACTCTTAGCTGTCCACCCCCTAACCTTAATGAACACAATAGCTTAATTGGACTTCTTCTACTTCTTTATCAATTTCCATTGACCAGATAAGAAAAATGGGTACGCCGCATTCCCGACTTTTAAAAACATCAAAGTAGTCTTATCGAAATATATACTGCGATCAAAGTACTTTTCATTATAGATTCCACTGTTAATGTCAATATTTTCAAGTCCCATACCGATGATACGGCAAACAGATACAAAAGAATTTGGTGTTGTAAGGTTAGAAGTATTTAATTTAACATGTAATAACGACTCGTAATAAAGCGACACTAATGACGACAGCGAGGGTAGATTGGAATAGTTTATTTACTGACTTATTAGCACCATAAGCTTTGAACATACGTTTCCTAGTTATACCTAAAACAGTTCTAAAGTGGAAACACCGAGTCCTCGAGGACGGCAGTAGGGGTCCAAAAAGTATTATAAGAGAAATCCGTAATTGGCTATAGCGACAGAATCGTTATTTCTAGTTACTTAAATATTTCCTAAATCCGGTTCAAAGCCACGACTATTTCGCTTGCTTATTTCATTTATAAAAAGATAGAATTCCCCGTTACAGAACTTTTAGCTTAGGATCTATTTCAAACTTAGAGTATAGTTATAGATACCTAAGCGGGCATTTACATATTCGCTGCCACTTCGTAGATGTTTTATTAGACAGTTCTATCTCATTCGCTTATCCTATAACTTCTGATTCAAATTCATGGATTGAATTCTTGTATTAGTTGCTACCACAGCTTCCCCTAAGAAAAATACTTGTATCGCACAGTTACAGGACCACCTCTACTTAGTCTTATATTACATCTCGAGTTATTATACATGTCTTCCACTTAGTGTACAGTACACTCCTTACCATGTGTGGTTCGGATTATGCTCGTGTAAGCCTTGCTCTCTCGCGAAATTTATATAAACATATCGCTCTAAATATATCTTATAGTAGTCTTTATAAACTGCCACGGAGCTGTATGCGTAAAATAGTTTTCAGCCCAGCCAGAAGCTATGGGGGCTTAGCCTAATACAAAATCTTATTATCGCTAGAATTTGGAGATCGTGGTTTCCCTGGTAAGCTCGCCCTACTAGAGAATTAGATCAATGGAACTTAGTAACTAAAGGCTATATATCACAACGTTCGGCACATAGAACTATATTCCATTCCATTCCACCTGGAATCCTTCGAACGCTCCTTTGTAATGGAACGATTCCATTCCGTTTTCATCGATTACTTCCTGGATAGGACTTCTGTGAAATTCTATTTATAGTGAATATTTATATATATCTAAGTGAATAGTAAGTAGATAGGGCATATTCACGTCATATATCTAGGACACTCTATACCTTGATATATTAATAGTACAAGTCTCTTCCTACTTTCTCTATATGTTAGCGATATTATTAGACGAAATAGGAGCTTCCTACTCGCCTACCAGACCTAGTACACATTTCCGGGTCATGTGACGATTTTCATCTTGAAATTCTATATTTTCCATGGAATATAAGCCTCTGGATTGGAATAATTCCGGAGGGTGGCTATGGAACCAACTGGAATTCCAGTAGCCGAACGTTGAAATATCTACATCAAAACCTAAAATCTGAACAAAATAAAGCTTAACATTTACGTGGCTGGTGCTAAGACGGTTCTAAATGTTCAAAAAGATAGACATTTTGATACCTAATGTTTTCTCATCAAAAACTAATAGATATTCCTCTGTTCCCAATGTCCTCATTAATATAACTAAATTAACGTTATTATAGACCATTGATTTAACATTTGTAGAGCTAACCTTAGTACTCCTAGACTAGAATAGGACTCGTTATGCACCTAGAAAACTGTTAACTTCAGAACTTCAATAACTGTCTTCGGATATTTCCTTAAACACCCTGCAGTTTCTCGCCTACCTCTATAAAACACTAGTTTGTAAATTATAGCGCTTCAGGCGGTTTTCCGTATCGGAACATACTGATTAAAGGCTTGTATTATCCAGAATGCGCTTGTGGATTAGGATGTAAAGTTTGTTTTCGTTAGGACAGTTTTTCCATATCCCATAGAATATGAATTCTTTAGCTACTTTTCTTTTACTCTATAGAAGGACCATTATGATCTAGTTACCTCGCCCAACGTAAGAACAACATATTGGCCTACGCAAGTATAGTAGAGTTGAGTAGAATAAGATTCAACCCATTTTGAGTGAAGTAGAGCTACTACTCTACTGGAGTATTAAATCTCTTACGCTGATCTCGCCTTCTGGAAAACCATTCTTGAAATTACCCTCTCCCCAGAAGCGCAGTTCACATTCACGACCAAGTATCGCACCCTAAGTAATCTTCTCTTCACTATTGTTATTTCATTTATGCACATAATATAAAAAGAAAGGAATAACAATACAAGAGCCAGAAGTTCTCTTTTTCCAAAAAGGTGAAGCCGCGCGTCCCCAGAGAGAGAGAGAGGACTGAGACAATCATAAGATGGTAAGAAGAGTAAATATGAGAACAGAAAGTGTGTAATTCTCTTATCACGGGCAACCGAACTTATGGTAAGGTTATTAAGCTTTTCGATGACACCACGTTCTCAATCAATTTAGCCTCCTACCCAAGCCTTGAAATTACATGACCCTATCTTCTATCCCACCATAAGATTTATTCCATCAATTTTCTTTCTAGTACTCTCTTTACCCATGACTTGAATACACCCTCACGTCGGAAAGAGTCTTGTTAATATCTCAGGCTCAAGGATGGCTTCGCTTGAGACGGTTTATATAAACCGTTAAAGAAGCGTTAGGTTAAGATTGTGCGGGAGAGTTTCCATGCTTGAGAGCAGTGGGTGGATGGAACTTGGAATAGGGGAGTAGTTATATATATAATTAAGTAAATTATCAGCGTCTGTGAGGGTTGGAACCCATGATGGAGGCTCGGGCCATGCCCTCGCTAAGCACTGACCAAAGTCCCCGCTTAGCACTGGCCATTACCCCACCGCCAAACAGGTTTCCACCATTCCACACTTTCTTGTTTTGTTCTTCTGACATCATGTATTCGTCATTCAAGTTTCTTGCAAGTTTCTTGGAATATTCAGGAAGCTCTGCCCTCGCTAAGCACTGACCAAAGTCCCCGCTTAGCACTGGCCATTACCCCACCGCCAAACAGGTTTCCACCATTCCACACTTTCTTGTTTTGTTCTTCTGACATCATGTATTCGTCATTCAAGTTTCTTGCAAGTTTCTTGGAATATTCAGGAAGCTCTTCCTCTCTCTATATATAGAGGAAGAGCTCGCATGTATGTAGTCTTCACGCACTTCTTAATTCAATATTCGAAACCACACCTTTGAGCTGTTCAAGGTCTGGCCTCTCACAGCGTCCTTCGGGATAAGCTAGGCTAATAGTTATTAAATACAAGACGTTATCTATATATCTTTCTAGTGGACCTTGTACGGACGGGCGCCCTGGTATGATGTATAATCGCTATAGTTTTTTAGTAATTTTGATAAGTCAAATCAATTAACAATTCGTAGTGAAGTTAATTAGTTTCGGTTTTTTTTAAAGTTCGGCCTTTTCGGTATATAATAGTTAAAGTTAAAGTTTTAGTATCTCGATAGTTAGGTATATTCTGAGTCAGAAGGAAGGAGCGGTAGGCGGTAATCCCAAGAGTAGTAACGCTATAGGGGGTTCAAATCCTCCTATACTAGCTTTTCGAGTAGACGCCTTATAAAGGTCTGTTTAGGTACTTACGAAGGGTAAGTTAGTTCTATGAGTATTAATTCAGGGTATCCTAGTACTATAATAGTAATAGGTAGAATAGTAGCTAAACCTAGACTCGCGGGGGCTTTGTTATATTTAGGGGGAGTAGTAGGTAGATAGAACTTAGAACAGGGGAGTAGTTATATATATAATTAAGTAAATTCTTAGCGTCCTTCGGGATAAGTTAGGCTAATAGTTATTAAATACAAGACGTTATCCACATATCTTTCTAGAGCCCAAAGGAAAGGGATGTAATTAAAAGAGTTCCCCAAGCCTCCTTATAGCCCGGACCTTTCCACATTACTTAATCCTAAAATAATAAACACGATTTAAGAAAATGTACTGTATGAGGTGGGACTGGTTGCTGCCATACATTTGTCTTAGACATAAGCCCAAGTTCACTACCCAACAATTTCTCTTCTCCCCACTTCACAGCCCATGATGGCGTAAACTCGGCTTCTCCAGCAAACTCCACAGACGTACGGCGCTACTTCTCCTGTTTTACTTCCGCACTGCATTACCGACGGAACCAGAAGTGACAAGATGCGGGGAAAAGGTTTGCATCAAGGAATACTGTGGGGGAATACGATGCTTTGCGGGGAAGTGGCATAGAGTTTGATTGTTTCGGCCTTGACAGCGTCTGGGGTTTATATGGGGCTCGTGGCCTTGCATTACATGGTGCTTGATGAGTGGAGACAGTAGTAAGTGGGAGGTTGGGCCAAGGTCGCTTTCGACGTCAAGTTAATCTTGATTTCGCTCGCCGAGAGTAATCATTCAGGAATAAAGTGTGAAATCATTAGATGCCGGGGAAAGTGAGATGAATAAGTAAGTTTTTGACATCAAAATTTAGAGTTATGCAGCCAATAATGCTTCGCTATGCCTAGTCCAACTCTCAAGAGCTCTCCCCCCCTCCTTCATAAAATCCAATAAAGGCTATCAACACCGAACTATATTGAAGAGACCATCTTGAAATAGACAAATTCTCTTTATCTTTAATTCATCACTTTAAATCCACGGGCGAGTTCCTACTACAACTACATTTCTTCGAGCTTCCTTCTCGTTACCAAGTTACTGCTCTTCCTTCTTGTCCCCAACATGATTTTCCATCACACTCCCCGCAATCGACTCATTAAATACATCCACATTTGTCTTGTGGAAATCTCTCGCACTAACTCCTCTCTCAAACAACAAGTCCAGCTCCGCAAATGTACGACCCGCCGGCTCAGGGAGTCTAAAGTAAACATAAATAATACACAAGAAGCAGATGCCGGCCCAGAAAAAGCCTGCGTAATTGCCCCAGTCCCAAGCTCCAGGATTGAGCATGTAAGGGGTGAGAATGGCGCAGATTATTCCAACAATGTTGTAAAGATTTCGTCCAAGTACGACCGTTTTGATTTGCAGACGACGGGTGGAAAGTTCGGCAACAAGAGAGTAGCAAACTGTACCAACGCTGAGCTGATAACAAGCAGCCCATACCAACATTATTGAGCCGGTAGCTAAAGAACCTGCGTCCCGATCTGGGACCAAGCCGAGGAAACCCATAATCAAAAGCATGACGAAGAGACCGCAGAGACCGTAAAGATAAAGTGATCTTCGACCAAGACCAAGATTCATGAGAAACCAGGCTCCGAATACACCTGCCATGTTGATTCCATATTGACCCATGGTAAAATCGTAGGCTTTCGAATTGGAAAGGCCGGCTTGTTGGAGGAAGTAAGTCGAATACCCCGAGAAGGAATTGCCGGAAAGGTTTTGGATGGCCCACACCATGCAGACAATTTCGGTACGGCGGAGATCGGTACCTCTGAAGCAATCCATGTAGCTTGCGCCTACAGTTATCTACAATTTGTCAATAGGTGCCCAGAACTTTCTTTTTGAGGAATTCAAACTAACGTTCTCTTCTAAAGCAGTGGTATGACGCATCATGGCAATGGTCTCGTCGGCATTGAAATCTGTTTCTCGATTCAAACTCGTAAGACGAAGAAGAGCCTTCTTTGCGTCGTCGATCCTGCCTTTTCGTACAAGCCACCATGGGGATTCAGGTGCCATGGCGACTCCAATTAGAAGTGGTACAGGCCACATCCACTGCAGAGCGTACGGAATTCTATGAAAATGTTAATTCATCGTGATTCAAACGGAACTGGCGCAAATCAAAGTGAGAGGGAAATGTACCTATATGCCCACTCGTCGTCTCGTGGCAACATGCCTCTGATAACTCCAATACCAATAAGTTGTCCAAGGCCCCAACAGAAATTAACATAAGTTGTAAGGTACCCACGAAGAGCAACTGGGCAAACTTCCGAGGCATAAGTAATAGTGACTATATATCAATTAGTAATTGCTCGAGAGATACAAGGGAAACTCAAACTCACGAGTCTGGAACATTCCCCACGGCTACAACGAATTAGTTATGCGCACCCACAGCCACACTAAGGGGAGAAGACTTACAATACCGCATAAAATTTCGGCTACTAGAAGTTCAATGACATTCTGGGCCATGAAGAAAATTGTGATCAAGCCGATGAGTATGGTTAAGCAAGTCATGACTGTCTTCCGGTAACCAAATCTTTCCGAAACGTAACCATTGATGAAAAGTCCGATGATTTCTCCACAAATTACACCCTGTAGTTTGGCACGTGAGTGATGTGGCGATTTACCAAGAGGATTTTTCTCACATTACTAAGACCAGCCTGCCATGGAGCAGGTATCTGATAAGTTCCATCCCTGGAAAGCTCTCCATACTTTCTGTTGAACTGCGGGAAGGCATCTGTTTTAATCAGTAAATAGCTTCTCCCGGTGGAAAGGTCTCCTCGACCCCACAAAGAAAAACTCACAGAAACTGCCGAGCAGAGAGACATCGTAACCCTCCATGACTATACAGGTTGAGATGAGGACACTCCATCCTACTGCCTTTGGGTACAATCGTATTCCTTGCCACAGGGTCATCTTTTGTTCCTCGTCACTTGCCCTCTTAGCATCGCGGACCATCTGATTCATAGACTTTGTGTGAGCGAGGTTGTCCTCTGGCGGGAAATGAAGAGGTGCATCGGGATTGACTCCCTCTGAGGCTTTGGTTGAAGCCATAATTGTCGACTCTCTTCGTAATACAGAATGGAGAGAGGATGATTGAACGATTGTTGACGTTCACTTTTTGGATCAGGACCCGCTCGTCTTTATGAATCTTTCGAAGGACCCGCTTCACTAGCTTCCAAGGATACGAGAATGCGGGGAGACCACACTTTCTGAAAGCTGTGTGAACTGTTACGCAAAAACGTCGTGCCGTTGGAGGCTTGTGTTCCGCCATGGGCCAATCATCGTGATTGTATATGCATCGCCGGCTTTGTTTGCTGGAAAATTGGTCAGGTTGACCAGCATCATCTGTCGGGCAGGGACGGCGTCTGGCGGCGGACGCTGGATTTGAGAATAATGGATTTCGGTTGGAAATACTATTGGATACTCGGCTCCATATCCGGTGGGTTTATATCCTGTGCCGTTTACTTGTCAATCCTGGACCAAAATCTGGGGTATGGAGTTGTGGTTGTTACAGAAAGAGACCCGTTTAGGTTTGACCTCGTGATGTTGCTCGGGGCGCCCGCTATCATGGATGTTCCCGATTTCTTCCCTAAAAGAGGGGTAAAAGATAAGAAAATAATGTACAGCAATTCATCGCGAAACGAACTTCAGAAGATCATTTGCGGTGAGTATACGCAAGGGAAAGCAAAGACACTGAAGCTTTCTAGGTGTACTTCAGTTGCCAGAGTGTTGATGGATGTGGAGAATACCAATGCCAAGCTCATCTCACCCCTGGACAGAAAGTCGGTATAGAGCGTTTTACAGCGGATCTTGAGAGACATTTCTGGGAGAATGGAAGTAGAGAAAGTACAAGCTGTGAAGCATATAGCGCAGCCTGCTCTTGAACACATTTGGCCAGCATCTGAAAACCTCCGCGGGTTGCTAAAAGATATTTGATGAGAGGAGACACAACAGTGCGAGAAAAAGGAACGCTGAATATGGATTTGGTTGAGAAAAGGGCAGACCGAGAAACAGAGTTGCGCAGGATAAGAGAATTAGACAATAAAATGGCCATCCACAAACCTAACCGGTCCGTCTGGATAAAACAGGCACATCAGTCAACAGTTTAGAGTTATCCTCTCCAGGGCCTTTGTGAATTTTAGAATATGGGGTCTTCGTATTCAATGGACCATCACTTCATAGAGCAAGCATTGAAGTGATGCTTTCTTTTGGATGGTTTGATATCGTGATTCGTGGAGAAAGGAGTCTACAACCCTCCAAATATCTTTTGCTACCAAAACTTTCCTCGATCCCATGATTCATAATAATTTATAATAACATAGTATTGCATCTAATGGTTTCTTTATTTCTGAAGCCACCCCAGTATCCTTTCCTCCGAATTTTAAAACGTACCGGAAACTCCTACACCATCACTTTCCGCTATAGTGGCTCCGCTTCTGCTGCAACGACGTGACCATGTGCCTTCAACATTAAGCAACAAAGTCCATATCCACCATTCTGGGACCCAAACCATCCAGCCTGATCTTTTCTAAGTAGAAGCGCCTGCCACAGCAAGAATGTCGAACGCCCTTCTCTTATTCAAACCAGGATATCTTACCGCAAAGCTTGCTATGCAAAGAAGACTGAACAGTGCACTTGTGATAAAACCCCGACCAAACTGAGATTGTGCGATTACCAATCCGGTACGCTCCGTGACTACCCATATTGAATCGAAAATGGGACTTTTTATACCAGACTCCATTTTAAGTCATTGAAACTACCGCAACAATTGCTTTTATGAGCCCAGGGATAGGCGAAAAAAACTCGAACTTACTATTGAATGAATTGAACTCGAGAGATGCTAAAACTTGGTGAGAAATATAAATTGAACTCAATTAATACTCAGAAATTCTAGATGAATATTCGTGAATTGGTTCATGAAACCCCTAGAGAATAGTTTCATGAAACAAAAAATGTATAAATTATGTGAAAAGAGCGCCGGATTGGCAAAGATATATGACTAACTCATTACCCATGCCTACATAAACCACATCTCAATATCTGTTAGACTGTTACCCATATTGCTTTGTATTGCGAAAAACGAGACCATATCCCCTTCCTGCATATGTCAAGAGTATCGCGGTGTGCATCCTCTCCAATAAGTAATTATGTACAGTACAGTTAATGCACTCAGGAATAGCTCAAGTTCAAAATTATCTTCACTTTAGAATCTTTTGCCATCATGTCTTTTTTGCTATACAAAAGTTTCTTGATGTCCAGGAGTTGTTTCGGTCGCAAATCCCGCTGATTAAAATTACCATATGATGGTGTATGGTACCGAAACTGCCCTCAAAATGCTAGCCTAGTTTCTTAGTAGTCTGGACAATAAAAGGGGGAGCTCAAGCCCCTCGACGTAAACTGGTAATCAGCAGAAATTATTGATCGTCGGTTGGCGACTTGAAGATGCCCTCTGGTACCACTGCCAACTTGTTATTTCACCAAAGACGAGACCCCGTCGTTCTTTCGAAGCGCATTACAGTTGTCGATTGAAGACACACGATCACATCTTCCCGTGGGCCGTGCTTGCTACTGATAGTTTCAGCAATCCCGTGCCTCGTCGAAACAAGAACTTTTAGGCGAGATGACATTCGACTCATTCAAAATGACTAAACCCATTTCATATAAATCCAATTTCTTAGCCATTCATTTCTCTGAGATTGATAAATGCGTGGTATTTGGACTTTTGCTGATATATAAAAACCGGTCAAATTGAATTTTGCTGCAGTTGAGCCTATGGTCAATTATTACTTGAAGCCTCGGATTTATGCCAACGTCATGTGCCATAATATTCCAATGGGAAATTTCGAAAGACGCGGTCAAATTGGGAGATTTCTCTGTCGGGAATATACATGACTTACGCTTCTTTGTGACCTGCGGATGCTGTAGATAGAATTGGCTTCCACGCTATGGATTGGTGTAATTTGGGCAACTCGTGAAGAACACGTCGGTCTCCCGTTGCTGATGTTCTATTGACCTCTGAAGGTATGGCCAATCCACATTGATATTGGAGTTTGACAACGGTTGGCAGCGCTCGAACAAGCTACTCAGCGACTGGAGTACTACTTAGAGTTACTCGGGGTTGAGTTGAGTTAAGTTAAGTAGAGAAAATATAAAGTGGTTCGTAGGGTGGGTGGAATCAAGAGTGTATTCAGGAGATGTAGAGTATCTAGCTAAGTCCTAGATATTAAGTAGTCCATATGCTAATCCAAAAGCATGTGATTTATCCCTGCTATTCACGAGTAGTTTACTATAAATAGCTACTAAATTCCAAAGTAATTGTCTACAAAACTCCCCTGCTTTTCAAGCTTACTATTGCCTTAAGGTTCTCCGATTCCTGTCTTCATCCTAATATTAGCCCCCTAGCTAGATAACCTCTCGCTAGAAGTGCTTCTTACTAGATATCTAACTCTTATACGCTCGGTTCATCGTCCATTCGTCACACGTCAGATGAGAGACTTATTGTTGGTCTTGTTTTGTATTTGCTGGCTAGCTTCAAATGATTTTACTTCTCCACATATAGATCAATTAGAAGGCTCCATTTTGTGGAATAATTGAAGGATAAAGCACTCTCGGCCTCGCGTCCCGTAAGGGGAGCAGTAAAACTATCTAAAAATAGGCACACAGCTAGTAAGCAAGTATAAAGCTCAGTAGTAAAATAGGTACATAGCCAAGAAAGAACACATAGTTCTAAATGACGTTAGCTCGCGCTAGCACGTAGACGGCGAGCGATTAGCGAGGGGTAAGCGGGTGGGAAAAAGAGCTCTAATAGTGTGACTGACGATAATGTTGTGGTGTTGATAGTTGGGGAGTTACTGTACGAGGGGAAATATAATATATTCCCCGCACTTCCTCATTCACTATAAACCCCTGCTATTATTTTGTGTGAAAGGATATTTGATATTTACTCACTACCCACTAGAACTAGCGTCATTCCAGGGTATTTAATACCTACCTGTACCATACTTTACAAATTGAAGAGTTCTCCCCTTTCTATCGAACAACATTTTTTCGCTCATATCGTATATAGGAGGGCCGGCTGAATCTGAGCGATCGAACCGGGCGTCCGACACTCGGCCCGGATTACTCCGCGCTGCTTAAGTAGTACTTAAATCAAGTCGATTGCTTGGCGAGTTAAGTTAAGTAAGTACTACTACTTGACTTAACTTAGCTTAACTTATTTCGAAAGCTGCGTCATTCCCGACCTTATTAGTGCTTTTTTAGTTCTCCCTTCAGATAATTGCCAAGTGATTATAACACTCATGGCGACAAACGCACATAAATTTATAGCGGCGAGAACCCAAAACAAGGGCGAGCTTCTCGACGAATCTATCATTAAGAGCTCATTCTAGAACGAATTTTCCGCGTCCAAACTTTTTCCGGTGGGATAGTTGATATTCAAAGTATGTTATAACATCTGTTATAGCTCTTGCTTGTGAATAATACTATAGAGGATCTGTCGCGCGGTTATCAAGTCTCGCTGTTTTTTGTTTTCATTAAGCGGATGATATATTCGGTACAGTACTCGTAAGGTCCCATGATCGAGGTGAGGAAATGCTCAGAAGTAAGTAGAAATCACCAAAGATAAAGATAGCTTTCACGTCGCTAACAGTCTATATCCACCTTTGAAGCAAAGTCTCTCCGTGCTTTCCCCAGACACCTTCGTATGCATGATTGTTGATCGCAGGACAAACCGTATCTTAATCTTCCCTGCAATCACAATCCCACGACCTTCAGATACTTTCTTTCGGGGCGGAAAAGGACTTTCGAGCTTGAGGTTTACTTATCCCAATGACTTGTAAGCGCGCATGAGCGGTGGGGAATACAAGTAGAGTACTCTACGTATGTCGGCGTGTGTGACTGTGAATCCAATACAGCACATACTAATCCATCCTTCAGCCCCAAATTTGAAATCGCAACTTTCTTCCTGTTGAAGGGCCAACAGGATTTGGCACAATCTATAAAGCATTGCAACCACAGTGGTTAGCTCAGCACCGTTCATATCTGACTATTACGACGATGCTAAACTTCAACAAAATACAATTATACGTAATAGAGATGTTCGAAAAATAAATGAAACTGAATCATAAGCACGGCTTCAGCAAAGCATCGTTGTTATATAGAGACTCGTCCTCATTAATGGTACTGCTGGCTCTATTCAGGCAGTTTTACGACATTACAGCAACGCTTGTGAATACCAGAAACTTCTATAGCTTTCAATCATTATTAAAAAGGTTCATATATTCATACGGTCCTACGGGAGAAGATCCATGACCATATATAGCCGTGCCACACTCGTACGAAACAATGGACGCAGCTCGAATTTTTTCAGATCAGTTAAGTGAACGAGTCGGAGCTACCACCAGTTCTCCTCCTCCTCCCTTCAGTTTGTATAAGTAGAAGAAAGCCAAGAA